AGGTGCTCCAGCCCTCTGAACATCTTCGTGGCCTCCTCTGGACTCACTCCAAGTGGTCAATATCCTTCTGATACTGAGGGCCCCACAGCTGGACGCAGCACTCCAGGTGGGGTCTCACCAGAGCAGAGTACAGGGGCAGAATCCCCTCCCTCGACCTGCTGGCCACACTTCTCTGGATACAGCCCAGGATACGGTTGGCTTTCTGGGCTGCCAGTGCACACGGCCGGCTCATGTTCAGCTTTTCATCCACCAGTGGCTCAATATTCTTTGAAACTCTAGTGACTGGGTAGTGTTGTAGGCTCAGCTTTTGCCTACAGTATTTCCTTAAATACAGGGTAACCGTGCATCCTGTCTACTTTTCAGTAGGAAAAAGGCTGAATAAAAAATGACCACTCTTTTTTCCAAATTCCCACCCAGTCTGAGACACTGAGTTCATGCCTCCTACTTCCTGCACCTTCTTATACCTCTCACTGTTCCCTCTCCAGCCGGCTCTTTCTTTCCATTATTCTGGTTTATTTTATGAAAGAAACTGTGGTATGTAAAGCTTTTAAAGTCTAAATAATTCCTAGTTTGTTTAATCATTTTGTAGATCAAAACTCCCAGGCCAGTCTGCCCTCAAGTTTGTCAGCTGCAGAAACAGAATTCCTGCCATAACTAAGGAGAATAACCAGGGGGACAATTTATCACAGCTCTGACACAATCAGTATTTAGGGTACTTGGCTTCTAATCCAGTAATCTGCTATTTTCTACTAGTCTGGCTGCTGGAGGATCTACTCACTCTACACCAGGGTTTAAAAATAGTACATGTAAAGTTCTGAAATTTCACAGCGGTGCCCTCAGAGAAACAACTGAAGAGTTCTCTCTCTGTCACCTCTTTCAACTGCTCACTGCAACTGCGATACCGGAGGCTGGCGATGGCTCGTTGCTCTGAATCCTTGGCTTAAAATTCCCCAGAGGAAGATGTCGATTCTCAGAATTGTAGGAAATAAATGAAATTGAGGAGCAGGACTCAAAATTATGGGTCTGTCCTAATGAGGTGACAGCAATGCTGGACAATTAGGTACAGCTATCAAAGCTGACATATTTGGTTTATTTCCTCTAGTACTGAAGTAATTCCTGTCCTCCATTCCTCCAGTCAGAACATGCAACAGAGTTGTCTTATTCCATAGCCTCGGATGTTTACCTTGGATGTGGTCTCTGAAGGGTTGGTCCTTTCAGCATCTGACACTACTTTCTCAAATAATTTTAGAAGCCATTTTTTGGATTTAGACCAGTTCCTGTAAAGAAAAGCAACAAACAAGAAGCACTTAACTGGGGCAGCACAAACCAACACTTCCTTTTCCATGAGAAGGACTACTTGGTTTCTTTCCAAAAGACCCTGGGCAGCACTCAGTTGACGAATAGTCAAGGATCAGTCTGACTGACAGAAGTGTTGACTTCATCGTGGCCAGACCCCATCCTTCAGCCGGGACCTGTGACTGCCAGACTCCTAGATTTTCTTATCTATTCCAATACAAGTTTTCACTGTGGCTTTGGCCAATTGCCTAGGTCAATATTCTCAAGAATGACCACTCCTGAGAAAATAAAGGCCACAATTTTAGAGCATCCTTAGTTCTTTCTGAAGGATAAATTCACAGAAAGGTTTGGGTTGGAAGGACATTGGATGTCCTGCAGAACATCCTTGTCTCTAAACTGGAGAGACATGGATTTGATGGATGGACCGCTCGATGGATAAGGAACTGGCTGGTTGCTCACACTCAGAGAGTGGTGGTAAATGGCTCAGTGTCTGAGTGGAGACCAGTAACGAGCAGCGTTCCTCAGGGGTTGGTGTTGGGACCTGTGCTGTTTAACATCTTCATTACTGACATGGATGATGGCATTGAGTGCACCCTCAGCAAGTTTGCCGACGACACCAAGCTGTGTGGTGCGGTCGACACACTGGAGGGAAGGGATGCCATCCAGACGGACCTGGCCAGGCTGGAGAGGTGGGCCACTGCCAACCTCATGGAGTTCAACAAGGCCAAGTGCAAGGTCCTGCACCTGGGTTGGGGCAAGCCCAAGCACAAGTACAGGCTGGGGGGAGAGTGGATAGAGAGCAGCTCCGAGGAGAAGGACTTGGGGGTACTGGTGGATGAAAAACTGAACATGAGCCGGCCGTGTGTGCTGGCAGCCCAGAAAGCCAACCGTATCCTGGGCTGTATCCAGAGAAGTGTGGCCAGCAGGTCGAGGGAGGGGATTCTGCCCCTCTACTCTGCTCTGGTGAGACCCCACCTGGAGTGCTGCATCCAGCCGTGGAACCCACACCACAAGAAGGATATTGACTACTTGGAGCGAGTCCAGAGGAGGCCACGAAGATGCTCAGAGGGCTGGAGCACCTCTGCTATGGGGACAGCCTGGGATATTTGGCAGTGTTCAACCTGGAGAAGAGAAGGTTCTGGGGAGACCTTAAAGCACCTTCCAGTGGATGCCTTATCCCTGGAAGTGTCCAAGGCCAGGCTGGATGAGGCTTGGAGCAACCTGGTCTAGTGGAAGGTGTCCCTGCCCATAGCAGGTGGGTTGGAACTAGATGGTCTTTAAGGTCCCTTCCAACCCAAATGGTTCTGATTCTATGATTCTATGACCTTAAAGAACCGGTTGGACTCTCTCCAACCGGTCAATATCCTTCTGATGTTAGGGGCCCCAGAGCTGATTTGAGGTGCTCAAGGTGCTGTAATATCCGTCCCTGAGAGCACTGACAGGCTCCCTTCCTTGGAGTTCATCTGCTTCTACGCAAGGTTGGCTTTGCGAGAGTGCAGCCACATAACCAGGGATCAGTCTGTTAGAAAACCAAGTATGCTGTGGGAAACAGAGACAGTTCACTGGGGACCTTCTCATCTTGGGACTCACATTTAGGCTCAGTCCTTTGCCCTTTGCTTAGCTCTGGTGTTCCCTGACAGGTTCAAGCTGGACCCTGCACACCTAAGCAAGGCTGTTTCTGCTTTATGCCCGGAAAACGCACGAGACAAGGTCAGAACTTTCTTGAAGCACCTAGCTGAAATGCTGGATAAAGGCAGCACGTCATCCTCCAAGGAAAATATCTCTCACAGCTGATATCCCAGCAAGCAAAATGCCTGCAATGGGCACACCACCTGCACCATCTCTGCCCTGTTACCTCAGGAAGCACTCCGGCATCTGAGAAGCATATTCAAAGTCCTCGTCGTACTTCTGAAAATGTTCTTCAAACTCCTTGATTTCTCTCTGACTTGCCGGGAAGATGCCTTTCCCAAACAAAGTGTTCACCACCGCTGGGTACATGACATGCCTGCAAGGACAAGGATCTCATATCGTACAGGCCACAGGGAAGCTGTTGCAGCAGTTCTAGGTCAGGGTGTGTAGTGTTGAATTGCAGCACGACAAGCACGGGATGAAGCGTCACGCCAGCACGGAAGGGCTAGCACAAGGCTCATACCTCACTCACACCCTTATTGCAGATTTTAAGCAGAAGCTGGGAGATAGACAGACCCTCAGGGTTGGCCCCTGCATGTGCCTGAACTTCACCCGTTAGCGTCTGGTCACTTGAGCAGTGGGAGCAGGGCTTTGGGTGCTGAGGTGCCCTTCTCCCCATTAACCACCCCTCTTATTTCAGGTTAGCCCATGTGGACCTCGCAGCCATTGCACAGCCCATTCTGCAACCAGACACCCCCAGAAAGCAAGAAATCCTCCCTCTGGCTGCAGCTTTGCTGGACTGAACAACGCTCTGTTTGTTTTTTTGTTATCTTTTTATCACACTCT